CTGAAGAGGCAGGAGGCTCAGGAGGTTATCCTTGGCTACACACTAAGTTTGGAGTCTGCCTGGGCTATGTGAGATCCTATCTCAGAGTAGGTGGGGAGATGAGGAAACAGAAGACAGAGAAAAAAATGAGCAAGAGTCAGAGCCAATCACAAGGGGCAGACATTGCTACAGAGCCGGCTCAGCTTCCTGGCCATGTTCTAATTGCTCTGCTAGCTTCAGGCAAGCCTCCAAGGGAGAAATACCAAGGAAGAGTCTGAGCCTACGTATGATCTACTAGGTCCGCACTGCTGAGTCTTTCTTTGGCCTTAGGATGGGGTAGAGCTGGACCAGCACTGTTACTAATCCTATGTCTAAAACTTTGAAATTTTGTCCTTTATGGATTTCCTAGCATTGTTCTTGGTTTTTGTTGTTGTTTTAGCAACATGTAGTACTATCTTATAAATATACCTGTTTCAAAATTCATTCCTTTATAATTTCATACATCTAACTGTCATGAGCATGCAATGCCAGAAACATAGACAAATACATTTGTGTCTTTCTACCATGTCAGATTTTACTGAATAAAGATAAATTCACAAGGTTTAGCAGTTTCAACGGGAGCAATTTGTCATATAATCTGCATAGCTTGGTAGCCTGACTGAGGCAAATACAGGCTTTTTTATTCCAATCTTAATTACTAATATTTGTTTTGATTTTTGTCTTGTTTGTTTGTATTTAAGACAGGGTCTCTCTATATAGCCCTAGGTGCCCTGGAACTTACTATGTAGAGCAGGCTGGCCTCCATTAATTACAAATCTTAGCTTCCTTCTCACATAGCACACAGTAAATGTGTCTGTTTATCTATGTACATGTATGTGGTTACAGAATGAATACAAGTTAAAAAGGCCGTACAGAGTTCAAAAGGTTTCAGAGGCAAGCAAAGAGTCTAAATTGATAAGACAATGAACCAGGCCAGTGCCAGGAGCATTGGAAGCTGCTGCTAGCGTCAGGGTTTCAGAGCAAAGCTGTGAGGCAAAAGGTCTAACCAAGATTCAAGAGCAGGAAATGGGTCCAGAGCAGCAAAGAGTGGGTCAAGTCCAGACTGGCAAACAGGTGGATGGACAAGTGGTCAAGAAGGCCACAGCAGAGGATCAAACGGACCCAAGGAAGTCAGGGAGTCCACTACTTCTCAGTCCTTGATACAAAGGCCCGGTATCTGATGACAGGTTGGTGTGGTACTGTGCCATCGTAGTGTTAGGTGTCCATAACTTTGGGAGGCCCAGGGGTGGGAGTTACATGCTGTTCTTGGTCTGGCATGTCTGATAAATCCTTGGGCCTGGTTTGATGTGATGTGCCCCTGCAGTTTTAATTCATTCCCATAGCTCCCTTTCTATTCCCAGGAATAAGTCATTTATCAGTCCATCCTAGGTAGGAATGGGTGGTGCCCTTCAGAGGGTGCCATTTCCTGGTCCCACCAGGGCTGAAGTCATTCTTCTCCCTCAAAATAAAGTCAAAACCTGATTATAAAATGGAGTCTTCTATGGTAAGACTCAGTCAGCGTGAACACTTAGAGGGACAGAGCCTCATCACGATATAATGTTCTGTAACCATATTCCTTCCCAGCCGCATCACAACATAATGCATTATTAATAATATTCTCCCTCATTATATTCTCCCACCCCCACTCTTACTTTTGATTTCCTAAAAACATTCCACTGTAACACTAGTTACTTTTTGTGTGATGATTTGCACACATGTGTGCCTGAGTATGGAGGCCAGATGTCAACCTTGGCATCTTTCCTCAGGAGATGGCCACTTCATGATGCAGAGGTTTTCACTGAGATCTGAGGCTCCAAAATAAGTGGTGAAGAAACAGATTAACTGTGTGAGATAATGGGTTTCATTTGGACACTTTCATGCGTGCGCACATACACACACACACACACACACACACACACACACACACACACACACACACGATGGACTTCGGGCACATTCTCTCCTCTCGTTTCCTCGAATCTCTAATTGTCTCTCCAATTCCTTTTCTTTTCTCTGGTATCCTGTCTTCTATTTTCATGGACTCTCCCCACAGTCCATATATGAGAAAACATGTGATACTGGTCTAGAGTATTTCACTTAATATGAAGACTGCTGGCCCCATCAATTTTCCTATAAATGACATGATTTTGTTCTTCTTAATGATTGACTAGTACTCTGTTATATTTTTATATCACACTTTCTTTACCCACTCCTCCGCGGAAGGGCACATCAGCTCATCCCCACCTTGTCTGTTGTGAAGAGTGCCTCGGTAAGCACGCATGTGCAAGCATCTCCACGGCATACTGACTTGGGTCCTCTAGGCATGTCATTCCAATGGAAGTCTTGCTAAGCATCTGAGTTCAGTTGCATGAACATCGATTTTTGAGGAAGGACTCTCTCTTGGTAAGTCATTTTCAGAGATTTGGGGGCTGGAGAAAGGTTTGTACCTTAAAGGTCGTGAGGTGGGGACTTTCTCTGGACAGTGTTTCTCTTGAGTGCTTGCTTACACAATCTCATCAGAGTTACCAGGCACCATATTCACGACCACCTCTTGCTCTGTCCCAGAACAAAACTGAAGAATCTTCCTTATCCTACCAGCTCTGACCCAGAGGGCCAACCTGCAATACAACACTTGGGTATAATGTGAAACTTGAATCTGACAAGCTTCTACCTGGAGCAATGTAAGAGGGTTCAGGAAAAACACGTTTTGAGTGTTAATTGATCTGTCCACGTGGGAAGGGGATGCAGCCCTGAGCTCTGCATATTGCAGAGACACATGGGATGGAAATGTTCACGTGGGAAAAGGCTAGTGATATAGCTGGGGAAAATCTGGCCTACGTCACCGTCAAAGATTGGGACAAAGGCGTGTCACCACTGCAAACGTGAGTGGTACTGAACCAGCTCACAGAGCCAGTATGGGTTTCATTTAATTATCTTGTTACCACTTGTTGAAGGAGAGCAGGGTGCAGGCATGTACTGGTGCTGTCTTTGCTGTGTATGCATGTGAAATGCTCAAGCACAACTGTGCCTGATGAGGTCAGAGGTCATCTCCACTACAGCTCTCCACCTTATCTTTTGAGACCAGGTCTCTACCTGAATCCAGAGCTCACCCATTGGCTAGACTGCCTGGCCAGAGAGCTCTGTCAATCCATCTGTCTCTGTCTACCCCTGGCCGTATGGTTACAGGCACGTTACGTGCATGACAGGGATCTGAACTCAGGTCCTTGGGTTTGTGCAGAAAGCACTTCACCTACTGGACCATCCTCCTAGACCCGGGCATCTTCCTAATCCCCATGGTAACCATTCATGGGAGACTGTGCATCCTCAGTTTCCACACAAGGGACCTGAGGCTTACAACGGGGCTCTGCCCCCAGGCAAGGCAAGCACCTTGCTAAAGGTTAAGTGGGGCCGGATTTTAACCCCGTCTGTCTAAGCAGTCACTGCACTTTCCTCAGTATCAGTGGTCAGAAAATGACAGACCAGAGGACAGATATACTGTGCACTTCATGATCTGCACACAGGGAGTGAGCTTTACATTTTTATTTTTTATTTATTTATTTATTTTTTTTTTTTGGTTTTTCGAGACAGGGTTTCTCTGAGTAGCTTTGCGCCTTTCCTGGAACTCACTTGGTAGCCCAGGCTGGCCTCGAACTCACAGAGATCCGCCTGGCTCTGCCTCCCGAGTGCTGGGATTAAAGGCGTGCGCCACCACCGCCCGGCTGGGCTTTACATTTTTAAATCGTCAAAAAGTAAAAGAGAAGAAAACCATTTTGTGCCTTGTGGAAATTACATGAAATCCAAACTTCAGTGTCCATAATTATGGGTTTTAAAATTTTTGTTTCTTCTTTGTTGTTTTGTATTTTTGAGATAGTGTCATGTATCCCAGGCTAGCCTTGAACTGTCTATATAGCCAAGGATGACTCTGAACTCCTGATTTACCTGGACTTCCCGCCCTGAGTGCTGGAATTATAGGAGTGTATCACCACACCCAGTTCGTGTGGTACTGGGATTGAACCCAGGGCATCATGCATGGTAGGCAAGCACTATATCAACTGAGCTATATCCCTGGCCCCATAAATAATAAAGTTTTATTGGCACACAGCCCATCTGTACTGTCTGCAACTGCTTTCATTCTATGTGAGAGTTTAGTAATTGCTAAAGAGACCAAGCAGCCAGTAACCCTAATGTGTTTACTATTTGGTCCTCTAAAACAAAGCCTGCCAGCCTCTGCCCCATACTGCTTGGCCTCATAGCTAGTTGGTAGCAATGTCTGAAATTTTAATAGACTTTACTCTCACTGACTGCCACATTAACCAGTACTCTTGAACATCTCTTCAGTCTTCCCTATAAAGGTTCAGTTTGTAGCTGGGCAGATGGCCCAGTCAGTAAAGCATCTGCCTGGCAAGCATCCGGACCTGAGTTCAGATCCCCAGCACCCACATGAAACGGCATACACGGTGGTGCCCTGAGGGGCAGAAACAATTGCATCCCGAAGCCATCGGGCAGCCAGCCTAGTCAAATCAATGAGCTCTGGGTTCAGTGAGAGGTTCAGTTTCAAAATAAAAGAGGGTGTTCCATTGAGAAAAGACACCAGCCAAGGGTGGTGGCACACGCCTTTAGCTCCAGCACTCAGGAGGCAGAGGCAGGCAGATCTCTGAGTTCAAGGCCAGTCTGATCTAGAGGGAGTTTTGGCCTACATAGAGAAACCCTGTCTTGAAAAGGAGAGAGAGAGAGAGAGAGAGAGAGAGAGAGAGAGAGAGAGAGAGAGAGAGAGAGGAGGGAGGGAGGGAGGGAGGGAGGGAGGGAGGGAGGGAGGGAGGGAGAAAGGGAGAAAGGGAGAAAGGGAGAAAGGGAGAAAGGGAGAAAGGGAGAGAAGGAAGGAGGGCGGACACCCAACATCGCCCTCTGACCTCCACATGCACACACACATACACGTGTGTGCACACATAGACACTAACAAGCACACTCACCAGGCACACAATGAATTCCCCGATTTGTACCTAAAGACCTCCTTCCTACCTTAGTGCGCTGGCAACCAGGTCATGTGGTATTTCTTTTTTACTTCATTCCATTCCTTCACTTATGGAACAAAAGTCCAGAGAGCTGAGATATGACTGCTGGCTTCTTGACACTCTTGGGGTTTCTGCCATGATGAGAACAGGGGACAGGAAGTCAGGGCAGAAAAAGACCACTTAGGAGCAGTAAAGAGTCTAGGAATGAAGTTAGGGCAAAGTGAGCACCACCACACTGCACCACAAACGAAACAGCAGAGTGCTTGCCGGATTCTGTTTGACTGGCTCACTTCTGACGTCTCCCTCCAGTGCCTTCTGCCTCCTGCTCCAGTTCGACAGCCACTCTGCTGACCTGGCGTGCCAGCATCATTATGTAAAACGTTCTGGGAATCTAACAGCCAGTTCCCAGCATCCTGAGTCTAGCTCCCAAGCATTATTCATGATGTTAATGTCATCACTTGAGCCAATTGCATTCCCATAATGCCCTTCAAGCAGTGAAGAAAAGGAAGTCTAGAGAAACATCTATCCCACAGAACTCAACGGTTGACAGCCTGTTGCGGCTCCCAGCTAAGTAGCTTCAGTGCTTACTGACTCGGTGTTACCTCCTGGTTGGTCCTTTTGGAGTTTTCCAGTGGTGCCTTCCAGCTTGTGATGTGTTAGGACTTTTAACATCCACTACAGGAATTCATTTAACTGATGTCATATAGCTGGGGATAGAATCCAGTAGTTCAGTTGGTATAGTGCTTGCCTAACATGCATGATGCCCTGGATTCAATCCCAATACATGAACTGGGTGTGGTGGTACACACCTATAATTCCAGCACTCAGGGGGTGGATGCAGGTGAATCAGGAGTTCAGAGTCATCCTTGGCTGTACAAGTATTATGCATGCGTGCCTCGTGCATAGAGCCCTAGGTTCAATCCCCAGCACCAAAAAGCAGGCATGGTGGCACACACCTGTAATCCTAGAACTCAGGAGGTGGAGGCAGGAGGACTGAAAGAACAGGGTCATCTCTGACTACACAGCAAGTATGAGGCCAGCCTGGGCTATGTGAGATTCTGTAAAATGGAAGAAAGAAGAGAGGGAGGGAGGAAGGGATGGAGGAGAGAGGCAGAGGGAGGGAGGGAGGGAGGGAGGGAGGGAGCGAGTGGAGGAAGGATATTAACACAGCTGGCAGAATGTTCTATGAACAATGGGGTAGAGTTTTCTTAGCCAAAATCTTTTTTTTTTTTTTAGTTAGAAATTTCTTGTTTTCTCCTGGTCCTCAGTGGTTGGTTTTTCTTTTTCCAGTCGTCAGCCTCAGTCAAATGACCTTTCCTTCAGGAAACTGTTCCCCACAATCTAAGTGCATGACCCATCCCTGAACATGAATTGTTTCTCCAGATTCCCAACCCACTGAATATGGTGCAGTATCTGCCAAAGCCAGAGGAACCCCTAAAGCATACTACGCACAGGCCTGCTTTCAGGACGACTCCACGGGATGCACTTGCATTTTGACAAGTTTAGCTGGAAGGAAATGAATCAGAAGCAGGCTTGGTTTAAAACTGGATTGCCTGTGCGGCCGGTACTTTTTTTCCTAGATGATTCCATAAACAATAAATATGATTCTTGAGAGTGTCTACTCTGGAATTTGTTTTTAATCCTTTCATCAATCTGTGTGTGGTCCCAAAGGTCAGCTGAAGAAAATTTCCCTGGAACAGAGATGGGAAAGAGAACACTGGGAACTCAGGTATATTGCTCTAACTTTACATGTGACTGAGTTGTCAGAGCAGCTGGTCCTGGGGTCCCAAGATCAGTGTGGAACGTTCTTTCTGAGACTCTTGATAATATACTTGATAATAAGAGATGACTTAAATGAAATGGTGCAGGATCAAAGCTTCAAAACTGAAACGACTTGGACTTGAAACTGTAGAGTGCCTGACTAGCATGTAGAAGGTGGTGGGTTCAGACTCCACCACCGCATAAACAGAGCATGCTAACACATGAACAGAGCATGCTAACACATGAACAGAGCATACTAACACATGCCAGTCATCCCAGTGCTCAGACGACAGAGGCAAGAAAATCAGCAGTTTAACATCAGCCTTGGTTACCTGGGATGTTCAAGGCTAGCCTGGGCCACATGAGACCTTGTCTTTAAAAAAAAAATAGTATTTGCCACACACGTATGAAGACTTGAATTCAGGTCATCAGCATCCACACAAAAGCCAGACGTGGTGGTACCAGTCTTGCCAATTATTAAGCTCCAGGTTCAAGTTGGGAGACCCCGTATCAAAAAATGAAGTAGAGAGCAATTGAGGAAGACACCTGACCTTGACCTGAGTCCTTGGTACCACACTCACATTAACATATAAATATATTGGGGAGGGGCATCCCACAAAGAGGGGAGGGGAGGGGAGAGGAGGAGAGGGGAGAGAAGAGGAAAAACACCTTTAAAATTCAGGAAAAAGCTGAGTCAGACCTTGCCAAAAGCTTCCCTGAAGCCTGAAAGCATGTAGCAACATGAACTTTTCTTTTAAAAAAACGTACACAGCACTTTTATCCAAAGATCTCAAAGTGTTCTGCAAAAAGTAAAATTGCCTAACATCCCTCAGAGGGGCCAACCGCCCGGATCCTGCCAGAAGCTCCAAGTCAGCTCTAACCTCTGCACTACTGACCAGGATCTGAGGAACTGTCATGAGGGCCATGGTGACTGTCCTGTGCAATGAACGTTGTCTGGTAGCATTCCGGGCTTCTCCCCACTCACTGCACATTTTGGTTTGTGATACACAAAAATGTCTCCAAACACAGCCAAAGATCCTCAGAGACCTGGAAGGGACAAAGGGGGGTCCCAGTTGAGAGTCACTGTTCTCTGTTAACACCAGGACATACAAAGTCATGAATAGTTCTATATAGCACCACCCAGCCAAGCTGCAGTCTCCAGATCGCCAAAAGAAAGTGATGACTCCTGTCTCCCAGTGTGACCCCCACCGCTCCTGCCTGAGTGGGAACTCCTCTCTGTGGCCATCCCTGAGTCCTCATCCATTCCTGAGAGCACAGCCATGAGGACTCGTCAGTCTAAATTCTGTCTCATGTTGCACTGGACGGTCAGGTGAGCCGTGTCCATCTGATAACTGCTGTCCCCTCGGGGTGACTATGTGCATCCAGCCTAGCCGCGCTCTGACGGCCTGAAGTGGAGCAGAGTCACACTGCCACTGTTCAGAGTGAGCCCTCTTCAGCTCTTGTGCGGCTGATTTGCATGGGAGGATGCAGCAGGATGGGGGATCTAGGGTGGGGGTGACCTAACAGAGCAGAGGGAGGATTTTCAATTTTGTCTCTCCAGTCTGTCAACCACTGTATTTGTTTGTCTGTCTGTTTATTTAGTTGCAGCACATCTTTGGAAATACGTGCAACATGCTCCTTGTGTGAACTGACTGATTCAAGCAGAGCATTCCATTTGCATAGAAATTTTTATTGGCTATGCCCATGCTTGCCTCTCAATAGACTGTAAAATGCCTGTTCCTCCCTCTCTTTACTCACACCAGCATGTGAACTTGATGATCCCCCAGTGACTCACTGGACACAGGCAGAGATTAGCTTGAGCAATGAACTACCTGCAGCATTATGGGAATAGAGACAGGTGTAAACCCCCCCTCTCCCCGCCCTACACCTCGGCAGAAGAACTAATGTATCTGCATTCTGAGACACTGGGCAATCAGGAACTTAGAGGGAAGCAGGTGGTTTGACAGTCACAATTTTTGGTCCCATGATACTTCAAAGAATTGGGTTTTCATCTATACTGCCCCCAGGGTGTGTGTGTGTGGGGGGGTGAAATATAGCAGAAGGTTCTCTAAACTTAGGACCAAAAATTATGGCTCAGACAGTAACATGCTTGCCAAATAAGCATGAGAACCTGAGCTTGGATCCCTAGAGCCTACAGAAAAACCAGGGGAGGTGTCATGCGACTGTGACCTCAGCACTGAGCAGGTGGAGACAGGAGGGTCCCTGGCACACACCAGCCAGCTAGCTTTCCAAATAAGTGCGTCCAGGTTCAGTGCACGAAGCTGTCTCTAAAAAGAATGGTGGAGAGTGATGGCCAAAGACACATGTCAGCCTCTAGCCTTCAACATCCATGCATCTCCCCCCCCCCCCCCTCACACACACACACACACACAAGTTGGGGCTGAAGCCTGGCTGTTCCGTGTTCTGCTTGTCTCTCTTTGAATGTGTTACAGCAAGTGGCAGCATGTGGTGATGTGATTGGTCTAAAGTGCACGGCCAGCATCTGACAGCTTATTAACCTTGATCCGAGCACTGAATATCAAACCATCAGCAGCTGCTGCACCCCCACAGCCTCTGTTTTATGCTAAGGGGGGACATGAATAAACAAGCTAACAAGGTTCCTACTGAAATATGGCAATTAGTAGGAATAACCAAATACAATGGTTTTGATATGGCATATTAAAATAAAAAAAGAATACATACTACTTATAATCAACAGGATTCTTGAGAAAGTTAGAGTTAATTTGGAATTCAAGACAGAAAGTGGGTACGAGCGTGTCTGTTGGACCCTACCCTTTCTCTTTGTGCCTGCTAAGTTTCCATAGCCAAACAGAATGAGAGCTTGACGATCAGTCTCAGAATCTGGGGGAAGATGGTGTTGCTGGAAGAAGTGAAAAGAAAGATCGGACATGGCTAGCCCAGGGTATGAAAGAAGAGAGAGAATTCGTTAACTTCACAAGAAATGAAGGTAGCCGGGTGTGGTGGTGCACACCATCAATCCAGCACTCGGGAGGCAGAGGCAGGTAGATCTCTGTGAGTTTGAGGCCAGTCTGGTTTATACAGTGAGACCCTGTCTCTAAGAAGGAAAAGAAATGGGATGTTTTCCTTTGAACAGGTGATAGCCCAAAGTATCAGGTGGAAATAATCTGTTTTCCTACTTTATAGATTGAAAAGGTTGCTTTTCCAGAATAGAACATTGGAGACACAGAGAGAGGTATCCAAGGTCAGCTAAGACGTGCTTGACGACATCTTACTTGTGGGGATGAGGACAGTCTACAACACTGTGCCACTACCGTGGTACAGATGAGGACAGTGAAGCACAGTGGTGTCTCTGCTGTCCCCAGACTGTCTCCAGTGCTCATGAGTCATGATTCTTGAGTATGGGAAGATGTCCCTTCTGGTCCCAGGTTGGTCATCCCATAAGCATGCTCTACATTTTTTTTTGCACATGTGTCTGTCACCAGTGGAACATAAACTAGCCTTGAAGTTTGGAATACCCTCTGTGTCACCACCATTTCTCAACGACCCAAGAAAGGCTTGTACTCTCCTTGACAAAATCATGCCGCCCACCAGTATTCCCCCAACACACAGGTGTCCTTCCCAGGATATAAGCAAAAAATTAAGAAGAAAAATTGATAAGTCAAAAGGAACAATTATAGACTCAAAACTAAAGAGAAATCCCTAGTTTTTTCTGGATTACCTCTTGCTCTCTTTCATGAAGGCAGATAATTGAGGCTAACCTGAATCTCGAGCCTTACAACATCTCTGAAAGCTGGTATTAGTCTATTTTTATAGATGATGAAAATTTTAAGTCTCAGAGGTTAAGCAGCTTGCCTCAGGCTGTACAGCTAGTTGCTGCCAGGACTTGGGCTCCTCGACCTCACTTACCCTGTGTATCAGCAACTGGAGATGATGGGAATGCACCTTCCCTTTCAAAGTGTGAAGTAATCCATGAGACATTCGGGCTCAGTCACCCAGTCTACGTTTCATCAGCTACCTCTGGTGAAGGCCGCACCTTGCTCTTCCTTGTATATAGCAGCTTCCCGGCCCCTGTCAATGTATGGGTTCATTGCCCAAAGAATAATATTGATGTCTGTTCAAACCTGTTGGCATTGCAAAGGCAAAATTAAAACAGGAAAACAAGATATGAGATTCATTTCATGGCCAACACAAAAGATCTTCCAGTTCAAATCCAAGATCGACTCCATCCATTACCAATAACAAAAGTTACAAGGCTAGGGAGAGCACTCAGTCAGTCCACTTGGGGCTTTCCTTGCAAGCACAAAGACCTGAGTCCCATCTGTAGAACCTAAGTGCAATAAAAGGGAAGGGAGGGTGAGAGGGGAGCCAGGAAAGGTCCTTGCCACCAAGCCTGATGACCTGAGTTCAATCTCTAGGATCCACACCACGAAGGAGAGACCTACTCCCACAAAATGTCTTCTCACTTCTACAGCAATGCATTGAATGTATGCTCATACACTTGTATTGTGTCCACTTACAGCACACACACAAACACACACACACACACACACACACACACACACACACACACACACTTCGGTTTTGTTTTGTTTAAAGAAAAAGGGCAGGTGTGATGGTGCACACATGGAATCGCAGCCCCAAAGAGGCCAATTCCTAGCGCTTGTAGCAAGCCAATCCACCTGAACAGCAAGTCCCAGACCAGTCAGAGAACCTCTCAAGAAAACAATGTAGATGTCTTCCAAGAATGACAGTCAGGGTGATCCTCAGGTCTCCACACATGTACAGATATGTGAGCCCACATGCGTGTACACACATACAACAATGATAAAGATTTCCAGCAAGCCCTGACTTCATTAGTTTTCCTATTTAGCCCCGTATCACGTTGAGAAAGCTACCACTCAAGCTGCCTGTTCAAGGTTACTGACCTGGTAAATCCTAGAACCTGGATTCCAACCTCAGGCATCGCACCAGCTGGCCTTCAGTCCTCCTCTGCCTGAGTGTCTATCATAGAGGTCAGCTGTCATACACGTCTCTTTATAAATAATAGATGTCGACTGGGAAGATACAGACTGAGAAATCTGCATAGAAATCTTCACTGTACCTAGTGCTCAGAAGTGTCACTTCACCTGTTAGTCAGCATCCCCACTGTGACAAATGACTTGGGATGAGCACCTTAGGGGGGCGGTTCCTGTGGGCTCACAGTTCAGAGGGTTCAGGTCACGGTCAGCTCCACTGAATCACCTCAAAGGAAAATGGGACCGCATTCCCAGACAAGCATGTCTACCAGGGCAAGAGCAGCTGGCGGAGCCTCCTTTCCCAGAGCCCTGCCCGACTCCTCCTGGGAGGAGAACTGAAGCTCCAGGGACACTCTCAACAAACAGGCATCTTCAGGCTCACCCCTCAGTCCCATGGAAAGAAAAACAAGTTTATTTCCTTCCTGCAGATGTTCCAAGTAAGGGAAACTGTCTTTCAGAAACTCCTCTCTCCACACACACTCTGGTTCCTTTGGTGGTCCGTTTATTTTGTTTATTTGTTTTGAAATAGGGCTTTATGTACCCCAGGTTGGCTTTGAACTTACCTTATGACTAAGGATGGCCTTGAAGCTCTGATCCTCCCTTCTCTCTTGTTGAGGATGGAGTTCCAGGGGTACACCATCCCGTGCAGTTGACATCACACAGGGGGTAAATCAGAGCTTTATGTAAGCTTGGCAGACGATCGACTGAGCCACATCTTACCCTGTACTCTCTATTTTGATGACCTAATTTTTGACCTAATTTCAATGGAGAAGTAAGGTCAGACTTAGATGTGCCCTTCATGAAGTTTGCTATCCTTTGTAAAAATACTTAGCAGAAAAATAAAGAATTTACTAAAAAAATTGGGTGGAGAATCTTCATCTTCCCAGAGAATCATGCACAGGAGTAATTAACACACTGACATGAGTCGCTCTTGTCTCTTTTCCTTGAGACCCGTGGCTTTGAAAGTGCAAATTAGGGCAGCTGAAGTTAATTCTATAACGCATTTGATGTTTGCTAGAACAACCTTTTTCACCTCAAGTGACATCTAACTAAGGAACATATAACAACCATGGCTACTGGACTGGCAATACATAAAGTTTTAGGGGTTGGGACACAGAATGTTTTTACCTTGGAGCCTTTAGGGGAAATGTCCGCAAAGTGATGACTTCTTGTTCCAAGATACCTTGATTAATGAACAGAAACTGCCTGAGCATGTCTGGCAGGACCCGGGCAGGCTTCTTTGGAAAGACGAAAGAAATTTGCCAAGCCCAGAGAATCCAGGCCTTCTCCACTCACAGCTGGTCCAGTTCCGGGGAAATGCCTGGGGCTTGGGACAGCTCTGGGAAGGCTGTGTTCCAGTTGGCAGCAGACCAAAGGCTATTTCTTCTTGTGAAGCTATGAGGTCCCCTGAGAGATGCAGTCAGCTCCAGAGTCCTGGGGTTTTAGTTGTAGCTGAGTAGAGAATCCCATTATGAACGGCCCTCTGATGCCAGCTCTGCAGCGTGAGCCCATTATTCCAGAGTTCAAAGTTGGAACAAAGACTTGTATAAAAGAAACAGAATATTGACCAAAATATACTTAGCTTGTTGAAACCACATTATTGTAAGGACCAGGACAACGACTGCTCGGTAGTGTCTTCTAGACAGGACAATACTGTTGAACTCATGAACTCTAAACAATATGGCTGCCTGTACAAGACCATACCAGTCAACATGCTGACATGAATGAGGAGAAAGTTCACAAGGCCCCACACCTATGTGAGTAGCTACAGGCAGTTAATGGCTGCTGAAAGAGAGAGGATCTGTTTTCCTTAGGGACCTTTAGTGGTTATCCCTAAACATAAAAATACATAGAAGCACTAATTGAACTCAATAGACTGTGAAGTGTGTGTGTGTGTGTGTGTGTGTGTGTGTGTGTGTGTGTGTGTGTGTAAACAATAATTATAGAAGAAGTCATGAGTTTGAAGGGAAGTGATGGGGACATGGGAGGAGTTGGAAGGGAGGAAGGAGAGATGATGGAAATGATGCAAATACAGTGTGCTCCTGAACGAAATAATAAATTTCAAAACAAAACACAGAAAACTACATTATTGGGTTTATTGGGGGGGGGCGTTGTTTTGGCGACTAGATCTTATGTAGCCCAAACTGGCCTCTAATTCTGTGTGTATAGACCAGCAGTTCTCAACCTATGGGTCACGACCCCTTTAGGAGGTCAAACAACCTTTTCATCAGGGTTGCATTTCAGATATCCTGCATATCAGATATTTACATTATGATTTATAATAGTAGCAAAATTGCACTTATGAAGTAACAAAAATAATTTTGTGGTTGGGGTTCACTACAACATGAGGAGCTGTATTAGTGGGTCGAAGCATTAGGAAGGTTGAGAACCACTGGTGTAGAGGATAATACCTGTATTATAATTCTCTAGCTTCCACCTTGCAAGTTCTGGTTTCACAGTGTACCCCATCACGCCCAGTGTATGCAGTGCTGGGATCAGACCCCAGGCTTTGTGCATACTAGCAAGCACTCTACCAACTGTGACTTATCCCTGGTCCCCTATTATTATGTTTTGTTCTCTCATTATCCCTGAGAGACTGGGATTACTGCTTCCTCTATGTGTGTGGGGAGTGTATCTCAGGGAAGCCAAGCCCTGGACCCAGAATCCCAGAGCACCAGCAGAGGGCCAGAGCCTGTTTCACTCCAAAGTAAGCCTCTTCACCAGGTCTCTCGACCTACAGAAAGGCAGTAAATTCAAATCAGCTCGACACTTTCCAACTAAATTGAAGCCCTTCAATTACCAAGCAAGCAAGAAGCAGTATGCAGGGTGGGGGTGGTGATGGTTGTGGTGGGGTGTCACAATGTCAAAGGCATTCCCCACATCTGTCCTTGGGCAGTTTGCAAAGCCAGTGGCACTGGGTTTGCAACCTCCCTCCCTCCCAATCTTACCCCCCTCTCAGAGCAGTTCTCCTGCCCTGGAGTTTGCAGTATCCGGATGCTCCTCTCTGCTAGTACGGTAAGGACTACATACCTGTACCGGAATCCTCTCCTCTGTACAGAAGAAGAACCCCAGCCAGGTGTGGTAGCTCATACTTTTAAATCTCGGCACTTGGGAGGGAGAGACAGGGAAGTCACCATCAACATGAACCGGTCAAATTGAAAGAATTCAATATTTCCATTAATAATCTTGCACAGAGGAATGAACACTATCAAGAAAACCAACAGAGTTAAAGGCTTACATTACTTGCCCAAATTCTATGTCTAAGGTATTTTTCTCATAAAAGTTTTTATTTAATAAGCTGAATAATAAATACATGCCTGTGATTCCCAGGGGTCAGCTGTAGGACTGTGGAGGCCCAAATTACTCAGGGCCAGAGAATCTGAGCTTGCTTTACCCAGCAGGGCTGCATAAGGGGATGATTTGACCATGGGCGGTTTACCAGGTGTTTGGAAGGGTCTACACTTGGCTGTGCAGTGTGCTTTGACCTAGCAAGGGGGAGATCTTTTGCCCTTCCCCTTGGCATGTTATAAAAAGCCCTTTTGAATAAATAGAAGAGGCTGTTGGGTATTGATCCAGGCCCTCCCAAAGCTATTCTGTGTTTTTGTCTTTCTTCTCGTCATCTAGGTCTCTCTAATATTTTCTTATCCCTCTCTCCTCTTCCTAAGAACCCTAGAAAAGGTGGGAAGGGTTGGAGCTGGACTCCCACGGACTCCCACAGAGGACTATAAGGTTGACACTAGCTATCCTGAGCTAACTATGCATTGTTTTATATATATGTGTGTGTGTGTATGTGTATGTATATATGTATATGTACATATATGTATATATGGAAGAAGATAACAATTGTATATATAATTATATATAATATATTATCCACAATATGGATTATATATGCATATACCCATATATATTATATATTATATATTATATATATATGAAAGAAGACAGCAATTGTATGTATATAATTATATATAAAATGTATATATCACTAATATGCACTATATTTGATGCATATATGCACATACATATATCATTAAACAGTATACATCAGAAAATCATTTTAACTTTTTAAAATAGTCAAATGTGTCCTTTGTCCAAAC